TGGAGCAGGCGGGATTAGACTCTGACGTCGCTGTCGAGCCGTTAGTGGCCGACTCCGCCTACTAAGGGCTTCTCGGCAACTCTGCAGAATCCTATGGGTGATGTCACGGACACTACGTCCATTTATATATACAGTCTATGTTCACATAATAAAATACACAACGGCTGTTAGGCTGTTAGCTGTAGGTGCGTGTGTGTGGTACAGTGTGTAGGTGTGTGTGGTACAGTGTGTGCATAGATGCAGCGGACAGACAGGTCTCAGTTGGTTTAGTGTCCTCTGCTTACTTTTAATACTTGTAAATAAAACTTTTGGCCCGTAATTTATTTTCCTCATTGTAGCGACCAGAGAGGGGGGGGTATATCCAGTCTCTCATAGTGTTACGTTATTATTCAGTGCTCTGTTTCATTCTGAAATTGTATATATAAATATATATATATGTGTGTGTGTGTGTGTGTGTCCGCATCTGTAGCCTGTTATTGTCTCATTATACCGCACTGTGAATGAATTAAAAAAGTAAATATATAAGATCGTCATGAACACATCTGTCCATCAGACAGAGTGCTGCTGTGCCTCCTGTCATCATTAATGGACGTCTCTTTAAAATGACCGCTCACAGGAGAGGAGTTCTCATTTCTCTAACCGCCTGCTGCTTCCCCTCCTCTCTCCTCGGCTCCTCGGCTCGCATCTCCTGTGGGCGGGACTAAGTCTCGAGGATAGGAGTCGAGGAGGGGAGTTAGAGAAATGAGAAAGGGCCATGGTACCGACACCCATAGATATATATAAACACTGTGTTTATATATATCTATGCCGACATCGGTGTCTGAACGCTCACTCACTGCTAGCTATGTAGCTAACTGTTAGGCTACTTAACTTGCATTGTTATGGATCTAAAGGTAGCAAAAGCTAACTTTCATAGCACAGCTTTTCTTTACTTCTCACTTAACACAATAAAGAAACAGACCGTATAGTACAGCACAAACAACAGAAATGATCAATACTTACATATATATTCACTTTTAGTATTATAATAATTGAAATGCTGGTTCTTCTGGAGGTGTTGTTGGCGCACCGCAGCTGCCTGCACTGTACAATCGCTGGAGGACTGGGCTGTCACTCAAAAACTGAGTAGCCAATGGGGACGCACCCCTGAAAGTCCCGCCCACCTGGGAGGTTTGTGTCAGAATCTCAAACAAAAAGTGAAGTAGCGCAAATGAGAGTGCTGCAGCGAGAGCAAAAGTCTGATCATTGAGAAAGAAGAAACACGAACTGCAAACAAAAAGATATGTTAAAACAAAGAAAAACGACTTATAGTTTACATGATTACACAAATGATTTGTTTGCAACTTATAGTTTTATTTTTGAAATTTATTTTATTTTTGCTTGACTCAGTTTTTTTTTCTTTTAAACTCATAGTTTTGCTTTATTCTGAGAAAGTGTTGCTTTATTTTTATGATACAAAACTAATCCCATACGAACGCTGGTGACACTAGTCCTCAGAAGTTTTGGAGTCCAATGGTATGGATTCAAAAATTACCCATGTAGACACTTCTAAGTTCTGACACTTTTTATTTGTATTGAAGTCACACTGTCCAATACAATAAATAGCCTATACAGAGTGAATTCATTGATTTCATGCACATCAGTCAGTAGCCCAACGTTTTCCATTATAAATATAGAAGCCAAGGGGAGGGTAAGTCATTACTTGAAGGCCTAGGCCCTAGGCTAATGCTTACTATAATTGAGCCGGCCTACATATTTTTCTAGCAGTAGTTGTACCTTTTGTGCAAACATTCAAACATCTGTAAAAGGCACGCTGTAGTCCTAAATAAGCAAACATAACCATTTACTTTGATGTTGTAATATAATTTAAAAAGATATACATCTTGAAACTTTGTTATGAAGAACATATCATCACCTCAGACCATCCCAATGTCCTTGTGTTGCTACTCCAAGTGCTATGAAATATATAGTAGTAGTGAAATGGACAGTGCAAAGTGAAATGTTCCTGTTCACATTCAACACAACAGTTTTTTTGTTGATTAAACCATACTTTGTCTTTCTTAACCTGTGCTGTCAAATTAACAATCAATCAGTTAATCGAATCATTCAAAAACTGATACAAAGGTGATTGGTTTATGATCATATTTACAGAAGACCTATTTTTCAGTCCTTTCGTAGACAGCTTTGCTGTTTCATAATTTTCATTCCTTTCAATGTCACTTATAACAAAACAAAAAACATGCCTATACTGTAACAGCTATTGTTGTCAGTATCATGGCAGAAAGGGTTGGCATAAATGACATATTTATATTTGTATTGGGACTTTTATGGTTCCTTATATTAGGAATTGTCTAATAATGCCACAAAAAAGCTTTTCACATCAATGCATTTTGTGCTTCCTGAAATTAGAATGCTCTTAAAAACTGGAATTTAAATTGTTATGCTTTCCTAACATTTTTTAAAACCCTTTTTTACTTTGACTATATGAATTTTACTCAGAAATAGAGAAAGGTGGGAGTGGAATTGGTTTTTCAGGGTTTATACAGCCGAGGAGATGTAGAGACAGACCTGCTAACCGATGGTAAATTCAATTTCATCCATCTCTTCTTCTGTGTCCTCCGTGTCCTCCATGTTCTCTGCAGCTCTTTCAGCCCTCGCTCTCTCACTGGCCGGGATGTAGTTGTCCTCGATGAAGCCGTCATCATCTTCCTCGCCCACAGGGGGGATGCAGTGGGGGTTAATGGCACGTCCTCCATGCATGGCAAATTCCACCTCCAGGCCTGGCAGCAGCAATAGAAGCACCAGAGTTGTACTGCATTACAATCATGTAAAGGTAAGTCTTAAAGGTCACCTATTATGCACAATTCACTTTTTCATGTCTTTTAAACATAAACATGTCTTTGTTAAGAGATTCTGAAAGTTTCAGGAAAGAAGATTCACTCACTTTTTGTCCTACTAATAAACTGGTGCCACCTGAAGAAGTTTGATATTCTTCCAAATGAGCTGTTACTGATTGTGTTGTTTTTTGTTGCGCAAAAGCAGATATTGTGTCTTAAAATGTCAGTTTATCAACATTTTTGGCAATGAGCTGAAAGCTAGTGAAATGTACCATGTGCTAAGCTTCTAATCCAGACTTATTTGTAAAAGCGTTTATGAACTGGAAGTAAAACACAGGTGTTAAGGCTTTTGGATGGCTGTGTGTGCGGGATGCAAACAAGCTATAATATAGCAGCATTTTACCTGCTGCACAAATAAAATTCAAGGTTTGTTAAATAAGGTACTGTATGTTTGATGCGTTAAAAAACAAACCTGACGGTTCACACTGACTGATGGTGTCCACCTCCCTCAGCCGTGTGTGCCTGTAGCTTGCCAGGTAACGCCGGACCACCTGGCATTTAGCCAGGAGGCCGATGAGAACGGAGATGGAGATGGCTGTGACCACAACGGCCACCAGGAACTCCCAGTTGTGAGATTTATATTTATCTGTCTGGCCTGCCAAAGTGACTGCAAAAAACGAAAGTGAATCACATCCTTGTTTAGTGGAAAGCACCTAAATAACCACATTTAATCTCGGTCTCACCTAAAACCAGTTGTTGCAAATATTAATGCCTTCAATCATTCAATTTAACATTAACAACAGACAAGATGCCCTTACTTAAGTTCTATCAAAACATTTATTATTTCAGTTTGTTATTGCAGGTGTGTACATTCTTACCATTTTGCGTTGCTGTTGGTGTGACTGTAGCGAGCACGGTATGTGATGATACTTCCATCTGGCTTTTCTTTGTTTGTGCAGTTCTCCTAAGTTGCTCAATATACTTTTTGTTGGATGCTCTTGCTTTGGGGCAGCATCCACTTTAACATGTAGCAATGGATCATGGGAGCATATCACACATACGTCAGTCAAATATCATTTTTGTATGACCTGCTTATTAAGTGCCTCTTAACTGTAGCTGGAAAGGAGGTTTTAAGTCATTAAGCAACCTGGCAGTGAAGAGCTGCTTAATGTTGGGTGTTCTTCAGCAGGTACAACATAAATGGTATCTGAGAAAAATATTGTAGGGCAGGCATCTCCCCAGATGAGGGAGATAGTTATCTGGAAGATTTCTGTTGACCAGGAGGATGTTTAACTTTCAAAGTTCCACTAGGTGGCAAGGTTGAGTGACGGGGGACTCCTTGCTTCACTAACAAGTGAAAGGTATTGGCAGCATCATCATCCTATGTTAGAGTTGAAATAGAACCCATGTCCCTTTGTTGCAGTCAAATGAGGCTCTAAAGAAATGTTGGAAGACAAAAGTGGATTAAATCAGTGTGGATAACACATATATTTCTACAAAGGCATCAGGTAAAAAAGAAACAAAACTATGAATATGAGTAAACTCCCAAGCCCCTTTATCCCGAGTGCCTTGTTGCTTTGAATTTGTTTTGGACTCTTTGTGCGAGCAAATGCATATTTTATGACTGAACTACACAAAGTGAACATGAAGAAACAAATTACCTAAATATTTCATTTATGAAAAGAGAGAGTGACATCATAAAAAGGAGACACTGCTTGGTTCCTCTAAATCCAGAAGTCATAATTGAGGACAAGCTGTCAGGAAAGGAGGATGTCATCCACAACAGGAAAAGTGTGTCGCAAACAGGAATTCCCCCGTATGCCTACTGTAGCTGACTGGCTAGCTCACTGGTGAAATCACTAATCTGAGTGTGTGACTACGTATCCACTTCACTAGGAGACATATCCAATGATCCTCAAAAGACAACCGACATATGACATGGCCAAAAAATCCAGGACATGCAGATAGAAAATTACACTGAATATAACCAACATTAGATTTTAAAGGAACAATTTGACACTTAATACAACTTTAGATGAGAAGCTTGAACCAGAAGCCCGATAAGTTTAGCTTAGCATAATGGCAGGAAACATGGGGAAACAGCTTGCTCTGTCAAAAGATAACAACACACATTCTGCATCGTGTTTCTTAATGCATACAAAAAATCAAGTACTGTTACTTTGCTGGTTGCATGGCAACGGTTCCTAGTATTAAACAGCGCCCTCCATAACATTGTATGTTGTCATTTTCACACTGCTTTTTACCGAGTCATAGAACGAGATATTACATTAAAAAGTGATGGGTTTTAGCAGTTGATTTTGGAACATTAGGACAGATTTAGGCTAGCTGTAAAACCCTATTTACAGTCTTTGTGGATAGCTACCCGTACCAGCTGCTTGCTGTATAACTCTATATTAAGTTACAGTACAGATCCCTGTTAATCTTTCCATGTTACTCCCTGCAAGAAAGTGGAAAAGTCAAATCGTGTCGAACTATACGCATTACACTGTAGTTTTGTTTCAAAGAGAGAAGACCTTTGTATACAGCTATTTGCAATTTTGCCAGATATTTGCATGCATGAGCCTCTGTGTTGACTTCCTGTGTTTTTAGGGCAGCAAAGATGCAGTCAGACAAGTTCGGATCTTATCCATGCCACTAACTGCAGTTTCAATCAATCAATCAATGTTTATTTATATAGCCCAATATCACAAATGTTACATTTGTCTCAGTGGACTTCACAGTTTGTGTTTCACATGCCTTGCTGGCGCCTGTATGTTTGAGTTTTTTAACCTGGTGTTCATTTTAATATTGGCAAGGTCATGCTATAGGGTCCCACATACTGCAGGACCTTCCCCCGGTCTCTTTTAGTGTTTTCGATATTTTCAATCATCCCAGATGTTTTCCAAACAATCACAATCTAAAAGAGCGGTATTAATGATGATAAAAGCTCTATTTCTTCTTTCATTTGAAGGGCTTTGCACATTTGATAAGATGGTTTGCAATGAACAAAAACAAAGGGTCTTATTTTAATGCCAAAAGTTGTTAAAGGTATAGGATGTAAGCTCGGATTTATGTTCAAATAAATAAATTCCACTCTAATGTCTGTACATTAAATATGAAGCTATAGGATAGGCTTTCCATTTAAAGCTCACTAATAAACACAATATTATTAACTAAGTCATTTAAAATCTACACTCCTACAATCTACTCTTTCTCCAAAATGTGGTTGTTGCATGTGTTGAAGTCATGATTAAGAGTTGTGTTGGCCTCTCTCTCCTTCTTGGCTCTGAAGTGATTTTTCACAGCAAGAGGGATCCGGCTGCTTAGCACCAGCCATTAGTCCTCTTCCCTTTCGTCTTCTACAGCCATTCTCTTCGGCAGTGTTGGCTGTAAACACACCATCAGGGCTGCCTTTATCTCTTCCTGTTCAGTCCTCACACAGGCAAAGCACAACCAAATACACACACACCAAGCAGCACAGGACTGGGAGTTACGAGAGAGAAGCCTGGGAGCCTGAAGTCTACGTGTGTCATTAGTGTGTGTGTGCTCTACAGTATGTGCTCCGCAGTGACTGTTTGTAGGTGAACATGCAAGTGTAAGAGGCTACATTTGCATCTTTGTCTGCATTAATCCGTGTTTGAATATCAATCAATTTGTCTTAGTCATTCTTTGTTACAGTGCCCCAAATAGTGAGTTGTGTCATTTTAGACACTAATGCCAGAGGGTGTGAAATGTTCTTTCTGCTATCAAACTGAATAAAACATCAACATTAATCCCATTGTGGGGTTTGATCACATTCCTTTGAACATAACTAACTGTAAGCAATTAATGGGTTTAGAATTTGATAATGATGGTGCAGATGTCAACTTTGAACTACTTTATACAGTTTCATACTGACCTATTTAAAACATGCTTTTAAATTGTTCTATCTTAGACAGCTATAGTTGGGACCTTGTAGACCCTTTTCACATGTTAGATGCTTAAGTTGTTAGCATTGTCACAACAACTATAGTTTCACGGCCAAAGGGTCCAGTATTTAACCTAAAAAGTGCCAAATACACATTTGTAAAGCAGAACATTCTCTTTAGTTCTTTCCTATCCTAATAATCATCTTGAAACACATCAGATTTCTTGTGTTCTGCTGCAGGTGGCCAGAAACCTTAGCTAGTTAGCGCTCACTTGACTAAACTACCAAACTGTATTTACTTAGTTTGTAACAAAGAGCTTGACTTTAAAAGGAAGAAAAACTGCACACAAAAGTTTGGATTGATATAGCAAATCAGACAAATTCTACTAAGCACACACCTCTATCCCTGGCTAAGATTATCATAGATTTTCCTACACCAAAGAGAAGTCCTTTCTGTTGACCCTAGCCCCAACAAACATGCAACAGGCCTCCCTCTTATCCCTTTGCCAAGATCTCTAGGCCTATTTCTGTCATGCTTTGAAAAGTGTGGAGGAGTCTGGCTGTGCCATTGTTTGTCAACGATAATGGCAAAAGGTCTGATAGTGAGTTAAAAACCAGCTGGACGTTGTGTGAGCACGATCATAACTCCTGCGTTAAATCAGGGTCAGTGTCTGTGTAAAATATCTGAATAACATTTCAGCTATTGCAAATCTGTTTTCTGTTTCTAGTTAAATGTCCTAATAATTCAAGAGAAGTTCCCTCAAATGTTATGTTTTGTTTTTGCTCTTCACCCCTGTAATAACGGCGGCCAACAGAGAGACTTAACAACTAAAATCCAGTAACGTTAAACTCACAATACATCAAACTAAATGACCTGCATCATCACAAACAATGACATTTAATATTTAAAGATAGCCTTAGCTCCTTGCATTAAACAAATACTGATCTGAATTTGATCTACTTAGAGATTGAAAAGGCAATGAACAAATGTAGTGAAATAAAGTGAAGATGCTAATGATGCGTTACTGTTTTGGGTGAAAACAGCAATTGGCTACCATGCAACACAACAGGTGCAGAAACATATTCGGCTACCCGGTCACTGAAATGAAAACACTGTGACGTTGACTATTCTGTATTGAGAAAGAATACACTTTTTTGAACTGAACTTTTATTGCAAAGACATAAAAGTCAAATTAATTTTACTGGCAATAATTCAGTCAATCACAACATCTGAGAATTTATGGTTTGGGAACTATTTCTGTATCCCTTGTTTTAGCACAATGGGACATTTTTGGTCCAATAATTAGAAATTATTTCATTATGAGTCCCACATGATAAGCTATTTATTAACAAGCAAGTCAAGATTGTCATGTGATCTTTACATAGTACAACACAGTCAGCAGACGGCACTGTCAAAGCTCCCACTTTTAGCTGTTGATTTACAATCTTACCTGTTCACCTGTCTGTGTAGTTTTCCTCGAGCTTCAGCGAGTTCACCTTGTGTCTCTCCGCTCTCACAGTACACATCAACCTACACTACATTTTGTTTTGCTTTGTATGTAAAATGGAGAGTGGGTGTGCAAAGGTTGACCAAGGTTTGCTCTGCAACTGCTTCCCAGAAGGACAAGTTAATGAGTTACTATGTAACTAAGGTGTGCTCCCTCCCGCCTACTATGGCTCGCTCCGCCCAGTGGCACAGCAGACCTGGTCAGAGCCAGCGCTGTCACTCAGCAGAGCCAAACCAGGAAGAGGCCAAAATCAATATTTCAAATGTTAACTACCATTGAAAAAGTGAGCAACCAGTAAAACCTGCTTGAGTGCAAACAGACATTGTGTAGACTGCTCCAGTGAATAATAAAATAACCTTTATTATCAGCTTTGTGTGGCCTTCCCTTCTTGTAGTGTGTTTGAGTGTAGTTTAGTTAGTATGCCTGCTACGTGCCACGCCTTGTTGGGTTAATCTACAGTGTAAACCCTTCCCTCTGTCCTTTCCAGAGACGGGAGGAAATCAGACAAGATACAGTTTGTGGCGAGTCGTCAAGGAGTTTTGTTTGTTTAAGACGTACAGCCCAAGAGTAGAGAACAGATCTCTGGTGGCCCCGAAAGGAAAAGCGAGGTTACCCTGAAAACAATAGGGCCACTTCCTGGCCACTCTGCATCTTTACATCTCCCTCCTTTACTCTTCCTCCCTCCCTCCCTCCCTCTGCATGTTCCAGGATGCCTCAGCTGCATGTCTTTGGGCAGATGGCAGGGACGAGGAAGGGTTGGGACAGTAAAATGATAAGTCAGCATCAGCTGAAATGTTTCCCACGGCCACTTGGGTGGTTTGAATATTATGGTAATTTGATGCTTTATCTATGACGTTTCTTTGAAAATGCTCTGATCATTGATTTGATAATTGTGGGAAAGTTTGCTCATTCCAGCAGAGGTATAGATTTGTTTTGGGATGAGAGCAAGTTCATTGGTTTGTTACTTTATCACCTATTATTTTGTTAGCAAAGACTTGCTTATTTACAGACCGAGTTTATGCAAAGTTCATGAGGAAATATTTTGCTATTAAAATTCTAAATGCTCCACTATGTAAAATATTTCTGGGAGCACACTGTACTCTAAATAATCAAAAGTAAAATATGGATGGTTCTCCATCTTATGGTAAAATGTACAGATAGTAAGTAAAGTAATTGTACTAAAATAAGTAGCCTTAAATAAATACTTTGTATTAGGTGGGAACTTGTGCACAGGAAGATATTTAAGTTCAGATTTCCCTAAACGGTGAAGATGCAGCTTTGGGAAAAAAGTCAAATGAAACGTTTTGACATTAATGTCTTCAGTCGATTATATTGCTAAACATATAAAAAGGTCGAGGTCATTAGTGGTAGTGGTGAATATGTGTCTCAGATCCTTGATAAGATTTTTTCGAGGAGACCAGGGTCTTTCCCCACTCGTTCTACAATGGGATGTTTACTGTGTGTCCTCTGAGTGAAGTGGTGGGGGACGCTTCTGAGGTCACGGCCCCTTCTGTTTGCAAGATGTGAAGGCCTTGCTAAGTCTTTTAGAAGTAGGGAAATAACAACACGTGTCGCACTGTACATAACAATGGATAGTTGGTCTTAAGGAAAAGCTATGTGACAAACAAGCCTGCAACTGGTCAAGTATCACGAAGAGACAGCAGGCTACAATTATCACTTTTTCCTTCTTGCCTTTTTAAAAAAATCCTGCTGAACCATTGTGATGTGCAACCACCTTACTATGCATTTTACAAGGTGACAGACACAAATTGTTCCCATTTTTGTAAGTCCATATGTGGGCTCCATCTGGAAATATGATAATGTGAGTGAGGCTCCCCTGCACATCTGCTTTAAATCTGTAAATCTGGTAATGAAACAGCTGCAGATGTATTTAAATTCAAGATAACTCTCTTTTATTGTAATGAGTTGTAAATAAAATGTGATACTCTCTATTGAGGCTCTAATTTCATTAATCAAGGTGCCGTGTGTTACGTGGTCCTTCACATACAAAAATAACCATTTGTCTATTTTCCCTTCATTCCTTAACTCGCTTTGATGACCCAGTTTCAACAAAAAGGTAATTAACATTTTAACAAATTGAATCTTATACTGTTTCGAATATATATGGGCTCATACATATACATTTGTTTGTCTTGAGCTCCTGCCACTTGTTGCTGGCGTAATACTACTGAAAGGGAAGAAATGGATACTATTCATATCAGTTTCTTTCTTTGGTGTTGGAGGAGGGTTTATTTTAAATGGTATACTGTTCATGGTTGAAGGTGAAGTGAAACGTGCGTCCATTTATAATGACCTGAATGCTTCCCTTTTCGTGAAAAATGATTTATCCAAATGGCGTTTTAATCAGTAGTTTGAGTTACCTCACTGTTTGTTTTTAGATGTTATGGTTGTGTGAACACATTCTAACCGAGGCAAAACAATACAGTGAACTTGCTTTAGAAAAATGTCAAAAGCACAGAAACACACCCTCTGTGGAAGTGTGAAGAACGAGCTGCATTAAAAATGTCAGCAGCTCACAGTGTACCTCTGCCTGGTTACTGCGGATCTGCTAACTTCCTGTCAAAGCCCATGAAAGATCCAAATGTGCATTTTTATAATCCCTCAATGCTGTGAAGGTATTTATGCTAACGGTGAAAGTGCTACAGGATTCATAGTTGAGGAATTTGTGTTGGGTGGGTCTCATACAGAAATAATGACACTGGAGAAAGACTTACAACTTATTTTTCTGTTTTTACTTGCAGAAGAGATATGTACAGGCAACCTCCTCAGAACAGGTCCAGTCTTTGCGAAGAAGGGAATTACTAAATATTTCAAATGATACACACATTTTGTTAAGAACTCAGGTACTTAGGAGGTAGGACCCAATTGCACGACCCGGGAGACAGAGGTAAAGTATTGGTAGGATACTTTATTTCCCAAAATACAGCAAAAAATGGTCAATAACTAATCTCAGGATGAGATGACAAAAAATGAGAACAAAAAGAAAATCGCTCACGTGGTGAGGAAGAAAACTTTTCACGAGTACAAAAAAGAGCATAGACCTGACCAAGGCAAAAGACAAGGACAATAGACCTGACCATGACAAGAAACAAGCGCATAGACCTGGCCAAGGCAATAGACGAAAACGAACTGACACTGAACACTGGGAGACAGGGGAATTTAAACACAGGGTAACAAGACACAGGTGGGAACAATCAGGGGTAGGATTGACACTGATGAGCACAGGAGACACAGAAGCAGTTGCGACTGGTCATTAGGGGCAGGTGGGGCACAGCCCCACCTAGTGTCAGCAGAAAGTATTAAAAATAATGATTACAAATAAAATGCAACAAAAAAAAAAATATATATAAAAAATATATTTTAAGATAATGTTTAATCATCTGATTCGTCTGTACATTGCTGTTTTAGTCTGTGTTCTTCTAATTAGTGTCTACAGTGTGGGCCTATTGAGCTGTTTAGAGCCATGTGGGACAAAACCCGATCATGCCCTCCCTCTCACCTAAGTGAACGGTGACTGTAAAAACTACACTGCGCATGCTCAGAGTATTGTCCTATTTAATGTGTGTGGCAAAAAAATGATGACCATAGGGGCAGTGAGCTGCCATCCCCACCATAGTCATCTCACATAATTCAGAGCTGATTGGCTGTAAGTACGTGTGCCGCGAAAAGTGTGGTGTGTGAAGAGGAGGAGAGAGACGCGTCCCAAAACCAGGAAGTAAGCTGCGCATGGGTTCCCTCCACAAATAGCAATGAGATTTCTCCATAGGATTTTAGAAAATAGCTCAAAATAAGATCTGTGGGAAACGTACCTGTTAGATAAATGCACGTTTTGTTCNCCAGAAGGATAGCCAAATGGACTTCATCTTCAAGTCAAGATAAGACCGCAATTTGATTGAAAATGGGATCTTACTAAGAGAGAACAATTAAATATTTAAATAATAAAATTACATTTTTTGGGTATCCTTTTGTTGAGCTGTCTGTTTAAAATTAATCGAAGCATCAGACAAAAAAAGCTTTTGAAAATAATATTCTATTTTGATTTAGGTCAAAATATTATATTTGTAAACCTGAAGAGTCAGTGCCAGTGCCTCACCAGCCATGAACCTCACTGCAGAAGCTTATATATAGACATCTAAGTTTTCTGTGCCCCACCACTTTTGTACATTATAGAAACGCCACTGCACAGAAGGGGTGACAGGTGAAAAAAAATCAGGAAATTAGACACACCAGGGAAACTAAGGACAGACAGGAAAACACAGGGAAAAAGACCAGACAATACACAGGGAGGCAAACACGACAAGGAGAACAGCAAAACACCCACTACCAGACACACAAAACTAAAGACGTGACACAACACAAGAAACGTGACACATTTTGCTCTTGGCTACTTGGTAAATCAGTAAATTGCTCTATTATCTTGTTTTCTTTTATGGAACTATATCCAGCTGCAGAGTTAACACTGTAATACAATATTCATGTATTAATAAAAGACAAAAGTATTCTATTGCAAAATAGGTCCTTGTAAAGATAAAAAACGGTGTTTCCATCTCGAACACATGTAACCTGTTAATAATACAATATTTTATTTTGAACTTTTTTAAGCAACAGATACCTGTTCCTTTTCACCTTTAGCAGCACAGCCAAACAGTAAGTAACTTACTTTAACAAAAGCATTTGCACAAAAATTCCCAATGGACTCACAAAGAATTGAGTATTAAGCTCCTTTGAGATTAAAACCAGTGTTTCCTATTAAAGCAGATGTGTAGTAAAATGTGGATTTCCCACAAAATGGCAGAAACAGCAATGTTGCATGTCAAAATATGTTTTAAACCAACTTCCTTAGCAGCTGTTGGTGAATGCCATTGTGGCATTAGCAGCCAAATGTGTACCTTTTACCTACTGAAAAACTGTGTGAGCATGTCCGTGTTCGAGCGTGTGAGTTGAGCGAACAGCTAATAGACAGGAGCCGAGACCCTCCACCTCCACCCCCGCTGTCACCTCCATAGGCCTTTTCCTGCCTGTTGGGTGATTCCTGCCCCTGCGCTCCGTCCACTTCCTTCACACACATATCAG